TACAAATGAAGAAAACAGCAATTCAGCTTGGCCTGCCAAGCCGAGAACATCTCTGGTGATTTTAGAAGTTAATAGCAGCCACCATGAAGATTGATATAAAGCTAGTGTTTCTCGCTTTGGTCATCTTGTGTGTTGTGAGTGAGACCGCTGCATGGGGATCCAGAAGTCGCGGGAGCTCACGGTCAAAATCCCCAAGTCGAAGGTAAATTAGCGATTTTACATTACATGCAAAATTATAACTGAATACGGTGAAAGAATAGCAAGTCGTGACGATGATTMAAAACCAAAATACAAAATGTTTTTATAACCGACCTCTTAGTCATAGCACAGAATTTGAGTTCATGTATAAGTTAATTCAGACAACCATTTGATCTGACTGTACGTCATATGGAACGTATTTCCAAATTCTTAGTTAACGAATTTTTTTACTTTTTCTAACATTTATTYTTATTTGGTTTCCTTTTCAGAGGTGGCTGGGGTGGGGGCAGGTATGTAACAAAAATAGTTCGAATTATCGTAAATGACTAAGATATACCATATAGCTAATGATGACGTGTGTTCTATTGTATACAGGCGGTCTTCTCCTTCTAGATCTAGAAGGTATGTATTCTGTCAATCATTTTAARTATAAACTCTAGAAGACGCGTAACATTTCAAAATGTTTTGTGTTCTCACTCCCAAAAAGATAAACATACAAATCGTATTTTTTCATGTGGAKTTTTATTGAAAGGAAATGTGCCGAAAGAAAAGCGTAAAACAAAAACTTTGTGACTGTGAATGCCTCGACTGCCATCACCYTATTTAATTTTGTCATGCAGCCACGTTAAGGTTTGGTTTTTCAGAAGAGGTTGGCGACGAAGCARGAATCTCGCCAAAGCAAACCTCAAATACAAATTGATTTAAAGCAAAATGAGCAATTAATAAAATATAATTTTATAGGCAAAAAAACAACAACATTTAGTTGTTGATGGAGGGCTTGTTGGAAATAATAATAATAATTGATAATCTACATATAAGTCGTACGAAGCAGATGTCGATATGTTAAAGACATATAGAGCTGTTTTTCATCAGAGGTGAACGCAACGTAAATGCATGGCCGGTTCAAAACAATTTATTCTTTCATTATTTTAGGAATGTAATTTTATTAACAATTTCTTTTTAACTTTCTTAAGGGGATGGGGTGGTCGTCGACCAAGACAGAGACCACGTCCAAGACCA